TATTTTGAACATTTGACCATTTAGGTCTATTGCCAGCTTTTTAGTACATACATATTATTTTTGCTGGCTTTCTACCATTATAATATTTTAATACTGAAAATGGCTCACCTTCCCCTGTTCCTGGACAATTGGCGGCTCTGCATTTTTTTTACTTGTTTAAGTGCCAATAAATAAAAATAAGGGCATTTGCCTACTGTGTTGTTACAGAAATTTAATAAACACATTAACCATATGATTTATTGCCATTTGCACCTGTTTCCTCCTACAAACACAAAGAGGAAATATATTAAGATGAAAGCCATATTATGTTCCTGTGGAAGAGGAAATGGTAGAAGAAACAGCATTACTAAAGGAGTGGAAATAGAAGGTTTAAGAGAGAAGATAAACATTGCTGTTTTGGAGACAAATTACTGTACTGGCATGGGACAATGTTCCTAATATCAGATGAAGTTATACTGCCATGGGCATTACAATTGCATTATTATTGCTGGGAAAGTGTAGGTCCTAAGTTGAAACTAGTAAACTTGTTTATGGAGCAGAGAATGAAAGACTGAAGACCATGAATTGTATTCTGCAGTAGATAAGGCATGGTGATGATGAACCTAATCTAAGAGAGAAGTTCTCAATTGCTGGCTTTCCAGATGTTTTAGGTGTTCAACTCCCAAAATCCCCAGCCAGCATATATGGTGGTCATGGATTCTGTGTATGGAAACTGAAAACATCTGGAGGGCCAAGGACTACAAACTACATGGAGATAGACCTCTTGGGTATAGCACAGGAAAGGGGAATGAAAGATGAGGAACAACCAGTGAATATAGTTTGCATAGGCAGAGACAGAAGATATAGTAGAAACTCAGGCCCATTCCCAAGAAGGGCCAAATGTGTTAATGGCTGGGGGAATCTACCTGCCTGGTACCCTTCCAACACCTCAGTCTGCTTCTAGGAAATTACCAAATTCTACATGGGTTAAGTTCTTTAACTCTTACACCAACCCTGCAAGGTAGAAATGCCACATAGAGACTTTGGTTTTAAGTACAACAAACCCTCTTAATCCCTCACCACCACTCCCAAACTGTGTGAAGAAATTTTATAATTTTATATAAAAGGCGGGATATAAATCAAATAAATAAATAAATAATATATATATTCAAAAACAGTCTCAAGAGTTTCAAAGACAGTAAAAAAGGTTTAGGGACAAATTATTAAAAGCTTGAGGCAGGAGCAGTACAGAGCAAACATACAAGAAAATAAGAGAGCTATCTAAACTACTCTAGGACTTGCATTCTAGCATAGCTTAAGCATATTCTCAGGGCATACACAGAGGCATTTCTTGGAGCAAGGCAGCAAATGAGCATAGCACCTCTCCTGAGAGATAACCAAGCCAAATGAAGTAACTTCAATCCCTATTTCATCCCTTACGCTTCAGCTTTTGGACTCTTCCAGAAGGTCTCCTGATCAGGTTCCCTTGGACAGTGAGGAAGCCAAAAGTAGTTTCTGCCCACTTCCCTCAATCAGCTGAAAACCGTCTTCCCAATTAGCTTAGTATCAGGGAATGAGCCAGCTGATCTTAAAGATAGTTCTCACACCTATATGCAGGTACTCATCCCTTCCAATTACTAGTGGGCATTATTCCCACCCCATTCAGTCAGCTCATTCTAAGCACCGACTACAAAGCCTGAACTTCCCAGAAGAACACCAGAATTCACGATTCTTCAGTTTCCCAGTCTCTTGACAATACAGTAAATGCTTTAGCTTTGCTCAGGGCTAGAGTAGAAAAATGAATAAAACTTGACTGTTGAATTCATATTTAAGCCAAAGGAGAGTGTGATGCTTCAGTTGACAACCAGTTGAAAAGACAGGGAGGAAGAATATTTAACAATGGGGAGTCAGGAGGGCTTCAGGTGATTCACTAGTAATGAACTCACTGTTTCGATGAATTTCTGGGTACTAGTACAGACTGGATTTTGAAACATATATATTTTGAAGCCAACTAGTGCAACACCAGTTTTAGAATTCCACTTCCATATTTTACAGGCCTGACCACTTTCATGGCCCCCTTTCCACTATGATGTAGTCAGGTTATTTTAATCCTATGAAAATACCACCCTTATTTGTCACTTTTCTGACCGTCCAACTAGTTTGGATGTTTCCCATTCTACCGAAACAACAGAGGTTGCACAATTGCTACTTTATATCCTAGACATAGCACTATAATGCCATCACCATCCCTTTCAAAAGAGTACCTGATACTCTGAGTACTATTTTCCACAATGATGACACTGAATTGTCCTCCTCCTAAATATCAACTATAGAAAGTGTCTACCTTGCCCGCTCCAAAATGCTTTTTGAAACATTGGGGGGGGGGAGCAGTGGCGCAGCACCTGTGTTCTTCCAGTCAAGCTTACAGGTTGTGTTTACAAGACAATAATCTCATAATTATACTATATGGGAGCGGGATTCTTCAGAAGCTCATGCATTATCTTAACAGTGGTTTACAATAAAACTCATCACTATTTGCTCTGAACTTGGGAGTGAAGAGTTAAAGTTACATATAAATAAATTATAACTTGGGTGGGTGCAGTAACGAAGATGTACAATTATTGTATTTACTCTATTCATTACCTTTGCATCCTGTGCATCTAGTGCCTAAGCATTACTCTGGGCAACTAACAACAGTTAAAGACACATCTGCATGGCAGCATTTTGAGACCAGCATAAGATGCAACATTTTCTAGTTGGGTTTAGTTACATTTTAGAATATTTTTTAGAGGCACCTTTTCAACTCATATACAGTACCATTCTCATATCTTTATTTAAGAAAGCCCTTAAGGATCATATGAGAATGGCTTAAAATAGTAAAGTGCAGCTCAGATGGCCTCTAAAATGTATCCTAAATGGTAACTTAAGTTAAAAGTATTTAAAAGAAGAATAAAGCAACAAGCATACATAGTTCACCAGATAGGACATGGTGTGATTTATCCTTGCAAAGATGAAACATGAGAAATTGCAATTTCATATATAGCTGTATGTCTATTTCTAAGGCTCACAGAAATTGACAAATTGTCTGGAGTAAAATCTGGTATCCAGCATTAAACGTACATGCTTTTCATCTGGGCCTTGTTTCAGGGTCAATGAAGGTTTCCACAAATTATTTTAAGAGGCGTCCAGGAACTCAATAGTCTTATTTACAGGACATCCTTTGATCCATTCTCCTCTGACCTGGTAGTTAATTCAGCTTAATCTCCCATCCCGTACTGTTCCAGACACTTGGTGCCAGCACTCCAGTGACCAACCTGCAGTTATTCAAGTCTTCTGTATCGCATCCTTGCACGCAAAATGCGGCATAAATCTCCACATCAGTAGTTTCCCCTTTGGCAGCTGCATTTGCAAACCAGGCCTACCGATTTTGGTGGGATTTAATTCTTCACTAACATGCTTGGAGCTGAAACGGCATATTCATTCAACCTTGAAGTAAATACCACTGAACACAGCAACACTTAACAGCTACAAATACAAGGTTGGTCGGCTATTAGCACAAAGGGGGGCTCAATATCATGTTTCAGGCTTAACCCTGCTACAGACTCTGACCACAGGCTACTGATGCCTCTCAGGGCCATCGGTAGTCTGCAGTCTGAGCCATATCAATAAAAACAATAAGAATCTTAGAACTACAGATCCGAAAGGGACCCTATGGGTCATGGAGCCCTCAAGGAAGCACAGCAAGGAACTGAACTCTGCAGCCAGAGACCTAAACCACTGAGCTTGTCAGAGCCATATTGTTCAAAAGACTAACATATTTCAGGGAATTAACTTGTATTCCTTTGATGGGGGCAGCAGCTTTTTGTCAGTCTTGAATTTACTACATGAAGCAATTGGGAATTCAAGGCTACTTTCCCCGTTCTCTGTGGAGGGCAGCAAATCTGTGTGGAAGCTGCTAGAGTGACAGAAGCCTCTCTCCTTTTTTGTTTAATGTGACCTCCAACACTGAGCATGGTACACATGCACATAGTCTGGGAACCAGGCCAACACACTAGACCTATTAGAGCATGAGAGATGGAGGGCAACAACCTTATGCTTGCTATGTGTCCCTGCCTAGGCAGAACGCAGCTTAGGCAGTGTCTGTGAGAGGGGAGTCTACAGGAATTGTGGGGTCACCATGGAGGATGAACCATGATAAGACTACCAATCAACTTCCCAGCATAAAGCACAGAACAGTTGAATGATCTACTCAAGTTTCTCCATACTATGTTAGTTAAAAAGCATGCTTTTGTTCCCTATAAAATATCATCACTTAAAAGCCAATGTCAACGGCTGGTGAATTCTCTTTTGGTCCCCCTTTTTCCTTCCTTGCAATGCCACTACAACAAAATCCCTTCATGTGAAGCTCCGAATTGTAAGGCAGAACAGTCCCTTAGTGGGGGTGGGAGGTGCCCTCAAGTTGCCACTGACTTCTTGCAACTCTGTGAATGAGTGACCTCCAAAATGTTCTGTCCTCAACAGAGCAGACCTTGTCTAGAGGGGCAGGGTAAAAATCAAATATATAAATAAAATAAATAAACAGCCCTACTCAACTCCTCTAGACTCAGAACTGCCCCTTATGAGAGATTCAAGCAAGCTTCTATGCAATTGTGTTAGTTAAGGGTAGGGGGTAAAAACCTCCGCCAGTCTTTCTAAGCTCCAGATTTGGGGCAGTGGGGGTGGGCAATGCCCCCCTAACTGCTCATAGCAAAGCCTTAGAGCAAAAAGCGAGATCAGCATAGCGCCTGCCAGGCATTCTTTCAGTCTCACCTGAAATACGCCTATCCTGAAACAAGTCCCAATGAGTTCAACTAGCTTTGTTCCCAGATTAACATGTGCGTGTAGAGGATCACACTCTTAAATTTCTGCACTCAGCTTTCGGAGTTGGAGAGCGAGAGAGAGAAAGTGAAACTAGTACCTGGAGACATTCCTGAGTTATTATTTAAGGAAGCAAAGGAAAAGGGAGGCATTTAACAGCTCACCTTCTGAATTCCTGAACTCAGATCCATTCCTCCGTCTGCCTGTGGTTTCCCTCCTCCCTAGCTGGATCTGCCTCTGGTAAGCAAAGGCGCCTTGACACACAGCCTCCGCCTCGGACAACGGGGGCTACTCGGAAGGTGTTGCAGGCGCCAAAGGACCCGGTCGCCGCCACTCGCTCGCTCTGCCTGCCTGCCAGAAACCCGCGACACCCTCTCGCGGGACGCCTGGACCGCCGCGTCCCTTTAATTGGAGCCCGCAACTCCCTCTAAAACGCGGCCGGCCAATCAGGAGAGAGACTCAAACTTTTCCCGCCAATGGGGAACGAGCCTTGATCCCCAGGTTCTGCGGTTCGTTTTAAACCCCTGAAGGGGACGGGTGGAGCTGATCCGGGTAGGCGAGGCGCGCCGCCTTCCAGCTGCGGAGGGCGCGCTGACACATCTGGTTCACACGGCGCGAGCCAGGAGGAGGCTGGGATGCGTCCTCTGAATCACCCGCGGCCGTTTCTTTCGTTCCTTTAAAAGGATTACTGGGGAAAGCGTTGTTGCCCTTAGGCAGTCAGTTTATTCACGTAGAGAGGAAATGAGTGTGTTGGTGGGGTGGGGGGACCCGGTGATATTCTTAGCTTCTTAAATCCCAAAATAAATTCCGGTTTTAAGTGGTTTTCCTTGGCCGTGGTTGCTTCTGTCTTGAATGCATTATGTTGTCCATGATAACGGAAAAAGGGGTGTCATTAGCCCCCATAGTACTATTTAAAATTCTAAACAAACAAACAAAAACAAGGTAATGTTTTGGAGTTCCATAGCACTCTTCATTGGCTGTTGTACCATCCAGTTGGATGAAAAGTTTTAAAACAACATAAAAGTTTTTTACACATGAAACAGGCCATTGTCCTTTAGGAGAAACATCCTAAGAAATCGACACTTGCTGGAAAAGGCAGGCTGAAAAACAAGGTAATGTTTTGGAGTTCCATAGTACTTTTCATCAGCTGTTGTACCATCCGGTTGGATGAAAAGTTTTAAAACAGCATAAAAGTTTTTGCACATGAAAAAACAGGCCATTGTCCTAGGAGAAACATCCTAAGAAATTGACACTTGCTGGAAAAGGCAGGTTGAAGGAAGCAGAAAAAGAGGAAAACCAAGTATGAGATGGATTGACTTTATAAAGAAACCACAGCTTTGACTTTGCAATTGCTGGCCAGGCAGTCAATGTTAGAGATTTTGGAAGTCACTCATTCATAGGGTTGGCCTAAATTAGAAATGATTTGATGTTACACAACAACTGCCTTTGTACTTTTTTTTTGATTTATAATAATAACCTTTACTGTCTGTTACCGAGACATTTTATTCATGCCAAATAAATATTTTTAAGCCATAACAATGTCATTTGAACCAACAACTAGATGTGAAATTGAAAGCCAGAGCCCGAAAGATTTGTTTAAGCATGACATGCCCTATAGTTTAGGGAAACAATTAAAATACTTGATAAAGATAATTACAGAAGTGTAGGTGAATTTAACCTGTTGCAGCAGGAACATGAAAAGATTTGCATGCTGTGGCACCTGAGAAACAAAGAAGTATCATTCTATTAAGAATTACTGGAGTGTATAGTCCACTTCATCAGAAGCCCTAACTGGTATTCCTGGTAGGCAAATACATGCATAGCTACAGAGAGGAAAATGCCATGTTAAATCTGTCAGTCTTAGAGTGTCACAAGGTTCTTTAAGCTATGGATCTTCTGCATTGACAGGGCTTAATAGTCCTTGGGATCCCTTCCAGTTCTGCAATGCTGTGATCCTATGACTCTGCAAAGAACAAGCATTCTTTGACTAAAAGGTTCCCTGTGTGACACTTAATTTTGTATACTGATAGTTGGTATTTTATTTGATAAGCAGGTGTTGGGAAGGCAAGCTTACCCTGAGCTTTGGGCTAATGGAAAGATTTTTCACAATAGCTTCTATATGAATCACTGCACACACAGGTGTTATATTGTCACACATGGCTAGGGAGCATACATCTCTCCTTGTGTGGTTCTACCACCCTCCAGAAGAGTGTGACTAAGGCAGCCTGTCATATCTGTAGAGGTTGTCAATATAGTTCCGAATAATGGCCTGGAAACCTCCATGAACAACTGAGGCTCTCCTCTTCACTTAAATGTTTCCCAGGAGATTGATAGAAATGCACAAGGAGGGATAGGACTAGCACGTTCCCTTCCTTGGAGGCAACGGGGAGAATGAGCGCCTGCATAAGTTTGCCTGGTTCACCAGGGAGCTGGCAGTGATGAAACAAGTGGGATGGAGACTAGAGTGACAATGGCAGAAAACTCAGGGTGAATCTGACCGAACACGGGCTAGAGCCCATTTGAAGGCCTATTCCGTGGCGGTGGCTGCAGCAAAGAAAAGGGGCTCCATGGCACCTGCACAAAGTCATCCAGCAGAGGTGTCTCAAGTGGTCAGAGGCTTAGTACATGCCCCACCAAAAGAACAAAATATTGACCACTCCACAAACTGCTTTGAGGAATTTGCATGACACTTTGCAGATAAAGTCGCTCGGATTTGCTCTGACTTGGATGCTGTAATTGATACAGACCAAGTGGATGTAACTTTGGCCCCGGCTTGTCCTGTTTTAATGGATAGTTTTCAGTTGGTGCAGCCTGATGATGTGGACAGGATTCTCAGAGAGGTGAATGCCACCACATTTTTGCTGGACCCCTGCCCTTCTTGCCTCATAAAAGCAGCCAGAGGAGGAATGGCCGATCTGAGTACGGGGAGTGGTAAATGCCTCCTTGCAGCAGGGTAGGATCCCTGCTTGCTTAAAGGAGGCAGTAATAAGACTGCTACTGAAGAAGCCCTCCCTGGATCCCAGTGTATTGGATAACTACCGGTCTAGTACCTTCCTGGGCAAGGTACTAGAGTGTGTGGTGGTTTCTCATGTCCAGAGATTCCTGGAAGAAGCAGATATCTAGACCTATTTCAATCTGGTTTCAGGCCTGGCTATGGGACAGAGACAGCTTTGGTCACCTTGGTGGATGACCTATGCTGGGAACTAGACAGGGGGAGTGTGTCCCTGTTGGTTCTGCTGGACCTCTCAGCATCTTTCAGTACCATCGACCATGGTATCCTTCTGGGCTGTCTCTCTGGGATGGCTCTCAGAGGCACTGTTTGATGGTGGCTCCAGTCCTTCCTGGAGGGGAGAACTCATAAGGTGGTGCTGGGTGACTTCTGCTCAACGCCCTGGCCATTGGCCTGCGGCATTCCTCAGGGTTCTGCTTTGTGACCCACACTTTTTAACATTTATATGAAACCACTGAAAGAGGTTTTCCAGAGTTCTGGGGTTTGGTGTCACCAGTATGCGGATGACACTCAATTCAACCCTATCTCTCCTTTCCACCTAATTCCAGGGAAGATGTCTTGACTCTAAACCAGTGCTTGGCATCAGTAATGGGCTGGATGAGGGCTAACAAACTGAAACTTAATCCAGACAAGACAGAGGTGTTCCTGGTTAGTCAGAAGACAGATGAAGGAATAGGGATACTACCTGTGCTGGATGGGGCTACACTGCCTCTGAAAACTCAGGTCCACAGCTTGGGTGTACACCTGGATTCATCTCTAAATTTGGATGCCCAGGTTTCGGTGGTGACCAAGAGTGCATTTGCACAGCTAAAGCTGGTGTGCCAGCTGTGCTTGTTCCTTGAGATGTCGGATCTGGCTACAGTGACACATGCCTTAGTTGCATCCCATTTGGATAACTCTAAAAAGCTCTATGTAGGGCTGTCTTTGAAGATGATTCAGAAACTTTAGCTGGTGCAAAGGTCTGCAGCCAGACCACTGACTGGGGCCAGCTACAGGGAGCATATAACCCTGTTACAAGAACTGCACTAGCTACTAGTCCATTTCCGAGCCCAATTCAAAGTAATGGTCATTACCTATAAAGCCATATACAACTTGTGTCCAGGCTACCTGAAGGACTGTATCTCCCTATTTGTGCCTTTTCAGCAATTAAGGTCAGCAGAGGAGGCCTTCCTCTCGGTCCCATTGCCAGCACAAGCACAGCTGATGGGGACACAGGAGA